TAAGTAAAATTATTTAAACTCTATGATTTTAAAAAATAAACAAAATATAAAATAAAAAAAATATAGTTTTTAAATATAATTAATAATTAGCTTATTAAATTATAAATATTTAATAAAATATTTATTAAAATGACTAATAAATATAATATCAAAATGACGATGTCTTATGTTATACAACGTAACATTATCTTTTTATTTCACATTGGGACATCGTGAGACAATAATTTAAACTCTTAAATGCATAATTTTATTATTGTTTATTTTTGTCTCAGGATTTTTTTTCATCTTCTCATATCTTTATTCTAACACAATTTCTCGTACCACATGTGTTTTAGGTTATCCCTCTATTTTGAGTTTTAGTGTATATATTAGTTGAGTCTAAATATGAGTGAAAATTTGAACTTCAATAAAAGTTCATTGATGCACCTTGTCTTTAAAATGTTATCATTTGTTCGTTAGAGCTTTCTAATTGTCTCGTCACATTCATAAGTATTTTTATTATATCACTCTATATATATACAAGAACTTTGATTTCCTTTACACAAACATTATATTCAACTTCTAATCGAAACCAAACACATCACATAATACAAGCTTATTATGTGTAAATTAATTCAACAAAAGATATAATTATCCAGTATACACACAAATGAAAAATAAAATTATATTAGGTTTAGGTTTACATTAGAAGCATGAATGCTCAAGTTTTATGCTATTGGTAAAATCTCTAAGGTCCTACTCATAATATAGATTTATTATATGTAAATTAATTCAACAAAAGGTATAATTATCTAGTATACACACAAATGAAAAAAAAATTATATTAGATTTATGTCTAGAAATATGAATATTCAAGTTTTATGTCACACCTTAAGTTTTTATACAAAGTCATTTGAACTATACCAAACACAAAAGTTAAGATTTTTGGATTCATTACACTTCGAAGATGACAATGTAACTTGTAAGTAGTGTAGTATGTCATCTAAGACAAGTATTAACAATAGAAAATTTGGAAACCCTAACTTATAAATATTGGAAAAGATGTGAGATGATAATAATGTCATCAATTTGAAATTTCTTGTATTCAACTAAGAGTAAACTCTTGTTGCATTTGCTAAGATGATAATAATTAATGAATTTCCTCCTAAATTCATTGAAAATCTTTTGATTCATTCATAAGACAACTATTAACCATGTGACCACTTCATGTGTGTTTGAAATAGTCAAACTTTATTTAATAGAGGTTTATGCATATGTGTTGTTTTAAAAGAGATTGATTCCTTAATTAACAAAATAAGGGTTATAAGTTTGTAAAGTCTCTTCCAATTAGGTTAACTACTTTTAAAAGAAGTTAATGTAAATTCTAAGATTATATTGTGTCTTAATGTGCCAACTAGATAAAATTCAACTTATATGATGTTAGAGGTTACTGAAAAGTGTGGATACACATTTTTATCGATTTGAATATATTGAGGTTGTATATATACTTAATCTCTTTATTAGTGAAGGAAGATATCCTAAAAGAAAAATATCATAAATTAGATAATTGAAAATGTGTCATATATTTATGAGTTTTTTTTAAGGTTCTATTTATGAATTGACACTTTTTTTAGTTCATTACTGAAAGCAACGAGGGGGAGATTGATGGAAATGTCCCTACATTCTCAAGAGATGATTTTGATGATGATTCAAGTCAACTACATTCAAGTCAACACCATTCAAGATGAATTAAGGACAAGATGAATTAAGGACAAGCTGAATTTATAACGTTGGTGAAAATGTGAAACATTTCCCTACATGCCCAAGATATGTTTTTGATAAAGATGATGATTCAAGCAAGCTCAAGATGATTCCTGAAGACTAGATAGAGTCTTAGAATATTGGATATGAAGGTACAAGTTGATGAAGTAATGTTATGCATAAGCCTCCAAAGCACAAGTGTGATAAAATTCATAACATGATATTTTTCACTGTCATAATTAATTATGATGCATCAGAAATGGAAAAATGATTTTCTCATTCAAATTCAAATTTTTGCATCAGAATGAGTGCCTAAAGTGGTATCAGAGTTTGGTTAGATAAGATATTTCTAAACGATCTGTCAAGATGTCTATGCAGAATCAGGTTTACAGGGAAGGAGCCTCAATAAACAGACCACCATTATTTGAAGGAGAAGACTACCAGTTTTGGAAAGCAAGAATGGAAATATTTTTACAAACACTAGATTATGGTATTTGGGATGTTGTACTCAATGATCCCTACATTCCGATGAGAACAACGGAGTCTGGAGTTGTTCCAAAGACTTTTGATCAATAGACGCAAGATGAAAATAAGCGTGTCCATTATGATGTAAGAGTCTGAAACGCTATTGTTTCTGTCTTAACTCGTAATGAATTTTTCAGGGTCTCACAATGCAAGACGACAAAAGAAATATGGGACACTCTTGAAGTAACACATGAAGGAACAAATGAAGTAAAGCGAGCACGTAAAAATACACTCATCCAGGAGTGTGAATTATTTTAAATGCAGCAAAATGAAAGCATCACGGATTTCCAAACACGCTTCACACATATAATAAATCACTTGAAAGCATTAGGAAAAAGTTTTGACAATGAGGAGTTGAGCACAAAGATCTTAAAATTCTTAGACAAGAATTGGCAACCAAAGGTCACTGCTATTACAGAATCAAAGGATCTCACAAAAATGAATATTGCTACTCTATTTAGAAAGTTGCGAGAACATGAGATGGAGTTACAAAGGTTAAAGAATGGTAAACAAAATCAAGCTAAGACGATAGCTCTAAAAGTAGAAAAATTTTCACAAGACGAAAGCGAAAATGAAGGTAAGTTTTCGGATTCCGATATGTCTCTTTTTGTTAAACAATTTTTTCGCTTTATGAAGAATAGGAAAAAGAGACAGCAAAGAAAGGAGAAACACAAATAAATTTCATTGCTATGAATGTGGAAAACCTGGTCATATCAAATCAGATTGTCCGGAACTTAAGAAAGAGAAGAAAGATGTGAAAGAGAAGAAGAAAGAGAAGAACGATGCCTATAAGAGCAAACACAAAACTTATATTGCTTGGGAGGATTATGATTCTTCCACAACACAAGAGAGTTCTTCCGAAAACAGTGATGGAGAAGAAGAAGCAAATATTTATTTTTATTATTTTATAATAAAAACATTTGTAAATCATTTATATAATATAGTATAAATTTGATTAATATACTTTTAAAATTAATATGATAAAATTTGATATATGATGTTAAATTCTAAAATAAATTATAAAAAAAGGAGAGACTATTTATATAGATAAATAGAGCAAAGTGTGGTGGTTTGGGATATGAAATTTTTGTGTCATGGTGGAGATATCATGCATTCAAATAGTCATTATTTTTTGCTCATAACTTCACATCCTCATAACAAAACGCATTATCCAAAACCTGACGACAAATGTGTCCAAGGAATAAACATGTAAATTGCATTTATCTCAGAAAAAATAACTGATAGGAAAGGTTACCTGGAATTCATCTTCACCCTAAAATAATCTGAACAATAAATCTAGTGTTTCTTATCATTTTGGAAAGGGAATGCTGTTTTCATAAACAAACCCATTCCATGATTGCTTGTTGGGTATTTGGGCCCATGCTCTTGTATTAGCTCAATCCAGTCCTGAGTGAACCCAACTCTCTCTCTCTCTCCAACTAAGAAATTTATCAAATTATTTAAAGTGAATTACATAAAATTGAAAAACATAAAAAAAATGAAAAAAAGAAGTAAAATTTAAATAATAATAATGGATTCTATTTATTCTATGTTAAACAACAACAACAAAATATGAAACATAAAACAAAAGGAAAATGATTAAATTTCTATTACTCGAAATAAGAAGACTAAACATATATATATTATTTTTATTTCTTTCAGCACAAAAGAAAAGGAAATGGAGACACACGATGTCAAATATATGAATACGTATGTTGTAACAAAGAACAAATGAAGGCAAATACATACGCATACATTAACCAGAGACCAAAACAAAAACAAGTAGACAGAGCAATAAATAGCAAAGTATGAGAGAAGAAACTAACACAATATGAATGAAAAGAGATAAAACAAACATATAACAAAAATAGAAGAGCAAACTAACAACACTATGTATAGTGAATGAGAGAATAATGTGATAGAGAATGAAAATGAAAACACACCATGAAAATCATGAATAGTCATAAAGAAGAAACTGTGCCAATTAATCTATCTTTCGAGTACACTATATATCAACTAATTTAAATTAAATCATTTTTGTTCTCTTTATTACATAATTTATTTATCAAATATCTTATACTTTACTTTTTTATCGCTCTTTTTTATTATAATTATCATAAAAGTTATCACGAGAACTGAGTGAGAATGTGTCATAAGAGTGACATAATAAAATTCAAAAGGGTGGGTTACGTTAATTCCTTTACGAGTACATGTCTGCATGTGCATGATGTGATTCCATAGTTTGGTTCCACCCGCACAGGCGAATTGGCGTGAAGCAATGATGGATCAACAGCAGTTGAATTTAACAGAATGTTCATCTTAAACAGGCTCAGTAAGAAAATTTTGGCGTGTTATCGTACTAAAACTTGTCGAGTTGAATTGGAAGCATGTCTTGTTTATGCAATGTATTTGTCAGCTCCTATATGAACACCAGAAAAGCTATGATTCAACAACTAGAAATAAGGATGATGATTCTAATTACCAGTGTTACTAGGCTGTGTACGGTATACTTTTGTACCAACTCTACTTTCTTTCTTTTGTGGGTTGTAAACTTGTAACTGAGCAAGTGTAGTTTTTGCAAAGGACAGTTGAGGGGTCCATGTCGTAAACCACTTTTGTTTGCTTACTCCACTGTCTTCTTTTGTTGTTCTGATACTTCTCTTGCTTCCCTCAGTTAGCTCCACCTTCCTCTCTCTTTATCCTATAGCTATATTTTACCAATTTTACTGTTGACAATGAAAAGATCAGCTTCAAAAGGTGAAGCTAATGATGGGGTTAAGGGAATTATAGATTGGGAGCTCAGACCTGGTGGCATGCTTGTTCAGAAGAGACAACCCCTTGAGTCCTCTTCTAGTCCCATGATCAAAATCAAAGTCTCTCATGGTTCTTATCACCACGAGGTCACTGTTCCTGCACAATCCACTTTTGGTAAGCGTAGGAAAGTATTATTTGCATTTGGGGGAAGCTATTTCCTAATTTGACACCTTGGATTTCTGGTATGCAAAGGGTACGTTTGTTACAATTTATAATTTATAACCTGTTTTGAAACCATCCAAAAGTTCACTTTATAGGGATTTTATTTTATCTCATGACAAGTATCAAGTGAGAAATTTCTCTCATGGTCGATTAGAAGATGTTGGAATTAGTGCTTTAGGTGTTATACTTCTTGTAGAGAAATTGAAATAGCTATTGGTTATAGTCTGAGAATATAAATTCATCAATCCCTTTATTTGACTTTGATCAGCCTGAAAGCATACACGTTTTGGCCCGCATAATTATTATTGTTGTTACACTATTTATTGTTAGGTTGATATAAGTTGTTAGAATTTAGATTGATTAATGGGCATTTTGCTCCACTACAAGTAGCTAGATTCTGAAATTCATGACTTAGTGTTTTCTGTTATGGTGAATGGAAGGGCATCTAAAAGGGGTGCTTACATCCGAGACTGGTCTTGAGCCTAAGGAGCAAAGGTTACTTTTTAGAGGGAAAGAGAAGGAGGATGAGGAATGCTTGCATATGGTGGGGGTGAAAGACATGTCTAAGGTAATATTGCTAGAGGATCCGGCCAGCAAAGAGAGGAAACTTGAGGAAATGCAGAAAAGTGAAGATATTTTAAAGGCATTTGAAGCCATCTCCAGTGTCAGAACAGAAGTTGTCAAGCTATATAAAAAGGTGCTATTCCTTGTCATGGAAATTGAAACACTTCATTGAAATTTGAAAATAATGCTACCAATATTTGATGATTGTTAGGTGCTTGCTCTGGAGACAGCTGTGATTGGTGGTACAAAGGTTGAAGACAAAGAATTTGCTATCTTGGCAGAATTGCTAATGGTTCAATTGCTTAAACTGGACTCCATTGCTGCTGATGGAGAAGCCAAAGTACAGAGAAGAGTTGAGGTTTGTGACAACTAAGATATACATTCTTGTATTACACACAGTCTATACCAACAACTACCCAAAAGCACAACATGTATTTATATTTCTTGTGTGCATAGATAATGTTTTGATACAAAAATTACAGTTTGGCAATTAGGTGATTTTTTGGACAGTTCCCATCACATTCATATTTAATGCAGATTCCAAGTTGACAGTGAAATGTGGTCACACTTAAGTCCTTGTTTGTACGCAGGTTCGTCGTGTACAGAGTTATGTGGACACAATTGACAACTTGAAGGCAAGAAACTGTGCTGCATTTAGCAATGGTGGTAACATTAATGCAGTCCCTGTAATTTGGGAGGCCTTCGAATCAGGAGTTGGAAGCTTGAAGTCAAAAGCTCCATTTCCAACATCTACTGTGATTACTCAAAACTGGGAGCACTTTGAATAAATGCAAGTTCCTTCCACTGACTTTGTGTATTTGTAGAAGATTCCTGTGCATGTTACTTCTCTATGTCAAAATAAACACTTGATTTGGCCTTGTGTTCCATCAATCATAAATCTAACATAATATTCATTATAATAATCATAATAATAACTCATTTTTATATTCTTCATTCTAAAATAAGAATATTTTAAGAATCATTTTCTATTTTATCAATGTATGTCATTAAGCATTTAATTTCATTTTTTTTATAAATTTTTGTTCCCTTTAAATAGCGTTCTTTATTTTAATTTAGATTTAAATTTTATTCAAATTGTAAATCTTGATAAACTCCATATTCAATATATCTTCATTTACATAAATGAATTTTTAAGATTATTATAATGTTAATAAATCTTAATTTCTAAAGTGTGAATTTTTGAAGTACCAATTAATATAAATAGGTTAATTTGATTATTAAATATTTTTTAAAATTATACATATTTTTAGGTCTGATATAATGATAACGATAGATAGAAAATTAATGTGGATAATGATTTTAATATATAAATTTTATAATTAAAATTATTTTTTTGTTAGATGTATAGTTAACATTTTGTTATTTTTTTACCTGCCATCATTATAAATAAAGACCTGAAAAATATAATTTTTTTTATGGATTAACATCTGATTAAAATACAGTAGTAGTGTAATCTATGCAATATACATATCACAGATATTTTAAATATATAAATTATATTATAATTAAAATTTATAATAAAAATTTGAATATAGAGGTTATATTTTATATTTATAAGAAACAATTTATTTTATGATATAAGGTTATTGTTAATCATTAATCATTTTTTAAAATAGAAAATCTTAATTTAGAAATAAAGTTAAAACAATAAATTAGATGAGTTCAGGAGTTACGAACAATTCATAAATGTTTTCATTGAAATATATATTTTAAAAACGTTTTATTGAGAAATAGTTCCTAAAATTGATTTTATTTAAGATTGTTAATTATTCTAATTTATACATAGAAGGATGATGTGCAACTTTATATAAGCACACAAATAAAACATTAAATTGATGGTGGATTTCAGATGAGTAACAATAAATTATAATTTCAATGTGTATACACAATACTTTTAAATTGTGAAAAAAATAAAGAAAGTAAGGCTTAAAATTTTTAATTTTAAACAAAATCTTTTAATTACAAGATAAAGTTTAATAAAAAGAAACTAGTTACAAAATCAATTTAAAAAAAAAATATAGGGTGATTATACTTTCACAATCGTTTAAAAAAAATAAAAAATATCTCATAAATAATTCATCATAATAATATAATAAATTATTATATTATTATAATGAATAATCTATTGGATGATTTTTTAATGGATGCGAAAGTATTTTTTTCTTAAATATTAATCATTATAACTAAATCTATATACTACATTATTTTGAGTACTAAAAAAATCAAATAAAACTAAAAAAAATTCAGTCAAGGTTTAATTAAAGATTTTAGTAACAACTTAAAGAAAAAAATCTCAAATTCTCATAATTAATAGCAAGGAAGTGAACAATCATTGGAAAAGAAAACAACTTAATTAATATTTTAGCTGGTTTAATTATTTCCTTCTTTCCCCTTATACATTTACTTTTTTTTTTAATACTAGAACAATATTTCTCTTTGAATAAAGCAAAATAGTATCAAATTAATGTGTAAACATATTTTTTTATAAAATTAATATTTTTCTTTATACTCTGATTCAACCCAAGGTAACAAAATAATTCTGAATTTTTTGTCAAAAAAAAAAAAACAGAAACAAAATAAAATACACTCTATTTGTTAAAATGTTCAACGAAAATTTAAGTAAGTTTTGGTTTAATACACTAGTCTTCAATTAAATTTGTTTAAAAAATAAATATTACATTTTGTTTAAAGTACATGTCTCAATATATGGGTGGTAGTTCGGAGATGAATAAGCATAAACACTAATCTCTAATAAAGAAAAAAATGAAATACATATACATATTATATATCATCTTAAATTTTCAACATCCAAATGGATATAAAAGTGAATGTTAGATATTCTACATTCTTGAATACATCTTGCCAACCTCATTATGGTCAATAGTCATAGATGGTAATTAATCGATGTATTATTTCATATTTGAAAAAAAAAAATTCCTCATTGATATTTTCCCAAAAAGTGTCTTAATTGATGATTGTTTGAGATAAGAACTAAATCACAAAGTTGCCTACCTCATATGACAAAAATCAATCAATCCCTACGAAGGTGACATAAATTGGCAAACTATCATAATCCAACAACTAAACATACCATGTTCTTCCCACATAATTCAAAGGGGAAAAAAAAATCTCCTTTCGGAATGTATATATTTAGTAAAATACATCTGAATCTTCTTTTTGTTGAAAAAGAGATAAAATACATTCATCATACCAAATATTTAAATCCTCTATATACATAAGTTTACTGTTTTGTTATTATTAATATTTTTCACACTTCCTTTTACAACCACTTAGTTTTTTCTCTATTATTAATGTAACACAAAATATATTCTGTCCCAAAAAAAAAAATACCATGCGAGTTTTCACTTTCCATAATGAACGAGAAGATGATGTACATATACATAAGTATATTTGTAGCAAATATTTTGTGTGCTTTATGCAAATCTATGTTTAAATTTCATGCAAACAAATTAGCCATGATTCTGCACTCCTTGTTTTTCATAGAGACAAAAGAATAGAGAAAAATGGGAGAACTTAAGAGTAGAGGCACTCTAATTAAGCCTATTCCTCTAAGAGCTCAAGCTATGTCCTCTCAACCATGGCGAAAACCCTCCAATCCACTTCATAAACTTGCCACCATTCCAGAAAATGATGTTATTCTTACTGAGGAAAACTCTGGTAATGGAGATCGCAACACTTCCAATGAAGCCCTAGCAAACATCCAGGAAAAAATGGAAAACAAGTTTAAAAGGTATGTATATGTTGTTTTTTATGTATGCATATATAATAATTGATGAAACAGTTATGTGTAACCTTTTAAAACAATTTGTCTGGGTTTTGTATAATTTTTTATATAATAATTGTTTATATATATTTACTGTGGTTTTGTATAATTTTTTCTGGGGGCTAGAATCGTCTCAAACCGACATGCTGCACGCAGATCGAGATTGAAGAAAGTTGCTTACGTTGAGGAGTTGGAAAATGAATTGAGATTGTACGAGGTGATTATGACCAATCAAATTCTCCCCCTCTATTCATGCATATATCTGATATATATTTATTTACTTAAAAACAAACATTACCAAGAATAATATCACTAATAAAAAAATTAGGACATTAAGTTTTCGTAACATGTTTGTATTTCTACCAAGTCATGTTTGTCTTGAAATCATAAACCATTGAGAACATAAATTTCCGAGTAGTTTAAAAATATAACTTTTATTTTTATTTTTATTTTCATTTTTAATTATAAAAATTTCATCTTATTCTTGTTTTTAAAAAATTATATACAATTTAATAAAATAAAAAATGCATTTTACTCATGCTTGAATTCAAAATAAAAGTGAAAATAAAATAATATTTTTGTAACAAAATTAAAATAGAAAATAAAAATAATATAGTCACTAAACATTCTCATATTTTATGGGAATATTTTTACAAATATTTTATAAAAATGGTAAGAAATAATTTTTGTACAAATTTAAATCAATTTTTACAAGAAATTTTACAAAAAATAATCAATATTTTAATAGTGAATCTTAACTAAAAAAACCTCATGATTATTTGTTTTGTATTTATTATAAATTTTAATATATATATATATATATATATATATAGTCTAAAATAAAAGTATATGAATTTTATATAGTGAATTCTTTTGACCTATTATTGGTTTTTAAACATTTTATTCGTTTTATTCTTAAAAAACGTTTTGAGGAAAATAAAAGAGATGAATAGAAAGTAGTGTGAATTGTTAAATGACGCAGACTCAGACATACGTGAATAATATCATCAGAATTGAAACTAAAAAATTGGCTTGAGAGGAATATGTGGGGATGTTACGAGATTTTGGTTTGCAGAGGAAGAAGGAGATTGTGAATGGACAAATTGCAGAGCAACGAAAGAAGCAGGTGTTGTTGCAAATTGAGCATCATTCATTGAGGTTCCATGTGGCTGCTCGTGAAAAGCAAAGAATTCTTCAAGAAGGTAACCTCTTCATTTAAAAGGTTCACATTTTTTAATTAATTGACTTATTTAAAATATTTGTTTTATACATAGCCGAGATTGAAAAGAACAGAGCAGAAGTGGATAGGATGTTGGAAGTGCAAAGGAGAATGATTAACTTGACATCGTTGCAGCTTGTGACCAATTCCAACCTTAACCCTTCACCCTTCGCAGGATTGAATGCCACAAACTGAGATTACCTTCAAATGTCTTTTCTTAATTTGTTTTGCAAATTAAATCAGTTACTCCTCATACAATCCTCTGTGTTTTCTTTTATGATATTATTTTAACATTTTAGAAAATGGTATTAAATATGTATGTATGTTTGAAACCAAACAGGTCCAAAAGTTAGCCCAATAAAAGCCCATTTGTTTTGGGCAAAAGATGACGTCATTTTTAATAAAAATAAGAAAGTAAGATGTAATAGAAATAAGAATCACAATTAAATCCGTAATCGTGGGACCGACCCATCCCCGTCCCGAGTTTGACGGAGAAACCCGAATTGACTAGGAGTGGGTTTGAGTTTTTCCAGCTTTAAAAGTCGAGGCGGGCGGGGATGAGTAATGCAATCCCCACTCCGACCCCGACCTCGTCCCCATCCCGATTTTATATTTAAATTTAAATTTTAAAATATTAATATTTTAAAAGTATTTCATTTTCTTTTTTTATTACATATAAGGTTATTTTTTTATATTTCACCAAAAAAAATTTCTTCTACCCACTTTTTTATTTTTTGTCTTTTTTAATCTTTTATATCAATTAATTTATTACATTGTTCTTTCTCTTATCTTTCAGCTTTTTCACATTTCCTTAATTTTTCTCATCAATTTGTTTTTTTTTCAATCTTTTCAACCAATTTGATGAACACAAAGTTAATTTTTTTTATTCTTTATCTTTTTCTAAATATTTCACATAAATCTTAGTAGTAACTAATATTATTTTATTTATAATTTATATTTATTAGGTTTTATTATGTCATATTTTATTATTTTATTATTCTTATTTATCATATATCAATTTTTATGTTAAGAAATTAATTGTATTTTAAAGGATTAAAGGAATTGATAATTTAAACTTTTATTACTTCAAACTAATTGAATAAGAATTAACTTATTAAATATTTCCTTATAAATTATATATTTCATATTTTTAAATAACAACTTAGAAATGAATTAACTTTTATATATATATATATATATATATATATATATATATATAATGTTTGAATACATTATTATAATAATAATATTATAAATATTTAAATATTTGAATATAGTGTTATAATAATAATAATATTATAAATAAAAATAATTAAATATTTCATTTACCTATATACTTTAATATAAATATAATAAATTAAAATATATATTTAATTAATAATAGTTATAAATTATAAAATTATAAATATTTATTTATATATAAAAAATAGATAATAAAATTAATTTATTATAAATATAATTATATTTTTAAAAATAATATAAATTAGAGACAATACGGAGAACTTCAAACTCAACTTCACAGTAATAAAGACTTAATTTCTATCCTAAAAGAAATAATGAACCGAAACAGAAATAATTAAAAAGAATGGGAGCTGAAAATTGGGTAAACCGCCCGTTGGCATGCCTAAAATAGAAAAAACAAGCAATACCATTTGGAGAAATAAGACGTCACAGAAAGTAGCGTTTGGTGGCCCACGTTTTTTTGTCTATGACGAAATCAGAACCACAAAATATAGAATGAACACGAAACATAGAGTTAAGGAATCGGTTTCGAAAAGTTCGTTTGGGTGATTTGCAGAAGTTGGATAAGTGTGTGTAAATAAATGCATGGTTGAGTGGTGTCACATGGTCCTTTTTCTTGTCGTTTTGCTATCTCGAGATGGGTGTAGTATATATTCACCCTTCATTGCATTGTTTCTTTGACATTTATTCTTTTCTATTTACATCTAATTATTGAACCAATTATGTGTTGTAGAGGTGCCACTATAAATGCTTCAAAACTTAAACAGACTTATGAAAAAGAATTGGTATAGATGGAGAAGAAGAGAAAAACAACGTCCATTGATACTCCAAAGTGTTATGACCTGTTTGGTAGCGATAAGACCACTTAACCTCAGAATAATTGGAATGGTTACACCACTCACTCCACCTTAACCACCCCCAACCCAAACCCAAATTTTGCGGCTTAATCACTTCAAAACTTAAAAGAGTGACGTTATCATAATTTTAATTATGTTAATAATTAAAGAAAAACTATTATTGTTTAAAGGTAACTAATATATTATTTTTTTATGATTAAGAAATATTATTCAAAGGTTGAACTTATATATAAAATTCCTTTAGAAAATATTATATAAATGATTTTTAGATGTATTAATTAAGTTGATATGTTTATATTAAAATGATAAATTTTATTTATAAAAATTGTTTCTAAAAAATACCCAGTAAAGTTTATGAGATAAAAAAAATGATAATGGAAGGAGTTGACGAAAGTAGGTTGACTGAAGAGATTGGGCCTCTGTTTCCGTGAACGCACAATCGAAAGTGGTTTTCGGCTAAACGACAAACTACTTCATTACGTGATTAGTGTCCAAACTTTTCTAAACAAAGTATCTTAGAAGAATGTTTAAGATAAGAACAAAATTAAATAAAAAAAATTTCAAAGTCAAATTGACAAATACACAATATATATAAAAACTGTTATAAAATAATTTTATTTTATGTCATATTTTTTCCCTAAAATTCATAATTTATCTTCCCAAACAAATTCATAAGTCGTATATCTCACGATGATTAGAAGTTTTAACGGAACATCTTAAGTTTTATCATTGTTTTTTTTTTAACTATTATTATTGAATAACACTCTATTGGATCATGCATTCACTAAGTTACTATATTATGTGTTTCATACGCTATTAAATCGCATCTAATATGCTACTGTTTTATTCATTCTTACTCAATAAATTTTCATCATCTAGACTCCTCTAATATATTTTTAAAACAATCATTAACATATTATTTAACAAAATTTTATCAAAATCAAACTTGAAGTAAATTTTATGTGTAAAGTGCGACACTATAAACCCACTGTATTATGAATACTCATAAAAAATTATGAACAACTTTTAATTTTTATGTCTTACAAATAATAACAAAAGCAATAATTAAATTCATTGATCTTGATTTCTTCCCATATCTAAGTTATTTTTATTGAAATTAGTTTGATGAGTTAATTAATTAATTGAATATTATATGTAAAGGAATTAAAGAACTCCATTGTAAACATGAGATAATAAAAAAGCATAAATGATACAATTAATTAAATTTTGAATCATCAAAATTATTTAATTATATATATTTATATCACATATGGACATAGTTGAATTAGACTACTACAGACAGTAAAAAAAATTATCTTAATATTTATCATAACTAATATCTACAAATCGTTTCACACATTCTAAAGTTATCATCTCATCATTTTAAACTCTAAAATTGAAATTAAGCCCACTTTTAATTACTAGATAGAAAAAAATTATCAATAACTATAAGAGTTATGACATTTTTTCTTACTTAAAATTTAAATTCTGACTAAAATGTAGATATAATTTTATAACAATAATATTTAATGATTAATTTTCTGTTAGTCCATTTAAATTGTAAATAAATATAATAACATATTAGATGTTTTGAAACTTTTAAATTGGTTACAAGTATAGACATTTACATTAATAAATTTTAATAATTTTTTAAAATTTAATATCTTTATTTTATCTACAAGTTTCAATATTCCTATAGTTTATTTCGTAATATATTTGACACAATAGATATGCATTTTTATAGAAATTAAATATTTTCAACAAGAACACTATACAAATATATGTATTTTATACAAATGAATTAAAACATAAAGAATGCTTAATATATCCAATCATGCAACAATTTCGCAACCATCGCTCGTGATAAAAAGCCTCAATTTAACACCTTTTTAAGATGCTAAGTTCTGTTTAGACCACTTTTTCTCCCACCAATGCAAAACAAGTATGTAAAAGTAAAATACTAGAACCAAAGCAAAAAAGCATTCTTTTTCAGCTGTAAGCTATTGTGTTATTGGGTTGGGTGCTGCAAGCTCTTCCCTCTCCCTCCCCCTCCCTCTCTCTCTCTCTCTCTCTGATGGGTTTTGGAAGCACGTACGAGGAACATCTTTTACTCAAAGGTTCAACCTTCACACCCCTAGTAGCCTAGCTTATGGGCATGCCAAAGTTCAATTATTTATCTCAACAAGGGATTGAAGGCAACGTGTTTGTTCATTGAGGAAAAAAAAAAAACAGAACAAAAATGCGTGGCCTGAAGCTCGTTGAACGCTTCAAGAGCACCCAAGTTCATGCCCTGAATTCAGAAGCCACTGGCAGAAAAAACAAGGCCACAGGAGGAGCCATCACAATCAGATCACTGGTGTCGAAATCCAAATCCAAAACCACGACAACCTCAGCAGTTGCAAACCTGTTTGTTCCTCTTCAGCTCCCTTCTTCTGACTCTCTTGAGCCTTCAATAGAACCTTATCTTAAACCCATCAACCTCGTGGAGGCCTTGGCAGAACTTTACCACAGGCAAGAATGTTGCCTTCAATCTGAAAAAGCATCACTTTGTGTGGAGCAGTTCACTCTGTTGCGCGGCCTCGGAGACCAGAAGCTTCTTAGGAGATGTATCAGAACAGCACGGCAAAACGCTGCGGACGTTCTTTCCAAGGTTGTGCTTTCGGCATGGTTGAGGTTTGAGAGGAGGGAGGACGAGCTTGAGGGTGTTTCTTCAATGGATTGTGGTGGTTGTGTTATTGAATGTCCAAAGGAGAACTTGGTGCATGGGTTTAGTCCTTTTTCAATCAATGACAGGTGCCAGTGTCCCCAAGTGACGAAACAGGAAACTAGCACTGAAGAAAATGTGTGTTTGTGTTTGCCAGATGAGGAAAAAGATGTTTCTTTTTGCATCGGGGGTGAGGAAATTGATTGCGTTAGGTGGAGAATTGCAGCCCTATCCGACCCTTTTAAGACTATGCTTTATGGTGGCTTTGCTGAGTCCAAAATGAGGAAGATTGTTTTCAGCCAAAATGGGATATGCTCCAAGGGTATGAGGGCTGTGGAGTTGTACAGCAGGGCTAAGAGGTTAGACTTTTTCTGTCCTATGACTGTTTTGGAGCTGCTTTCCTTTGCGAATAGGTTCTGTTGTGAGGAGATGAAAGCTGCTTGTGATGCTCATTTGGCTTCAATTGTTGGAAGTGTAGACGATGCATTGATTTTTATCGACCATGGATTGGAAGAGAGAGCACCCCTTCTTGTGGCTTCCTGCTTGCAAGTGTTGCTCAGGGAGCTACCAAATTCTTTATGTAATTCTAACTTGATGAATGTATTCTGTAGTTCTCAGGGAAGGAAAAGGTTGGCCATAGTGGGGTATGATTCTTTCTTACTGTACTATTTCCTGAGCCAGGTGGCTATGGAGGAAAGCATGGTGTCAAAAACTGCAGTGATGTTACTAGAAAGGCTGGGTGAGTGTGCTACTGAAAGGTGGCAGAAGGCCCTTGCCTTCCACCAATTGGGGTGTGTGCTGCTTGAGAGGAAAGACTATAAAGAAGCTCAGCATAGTTTTGAGGCAGCAGCTGAAGCAGGTCATTTGTATTCTGTGGCTGGTGTAGCCAGAAGCAAGTACAAGCAGGGTCAACCATATTCAGCCTATAAGTTAATTAGTTCTCTCATGTTTGAGCACAAGCCTGCTGGGTGGATGTATCAGGAGCGTGCTCTTTACAATATGGGAAGGGAGAAAATGTTTGATTTGGATGTTGCAACTGAATTGGATCCCTCCCTTTCATTTCCGTATAAATATAGAGCCCTGAGAAAGGTGGAGGAGAAGCAGATAAGGGCTGGAATTTTAGAGCTTGATAAAATCATTGGATTTAAGCTCTCTCCTGATTGCTTAGAATTGCGGGCTAGGATGTTTATTGCACTTAAGGATTATGACAGTTCCATAAGAGATATCAGGGCATTGTTAACTTTGGAACCAAATTATATAACTTCAAATGAAAAGATCACAGGAAAATACCTGGTTCATCTCCTTAGCCATGTGGTGCAGGAGAAGAGTCAGGCTGAATGCTGGATTCAATTATATGAACAATGGTCTTCTGTAGATGATGTTGGTTCTTTGGCTATTATACATCAGATGCTAGAGAATGAGCCTGGAAAGAGTTTGCTGGAGTTTCGTCAGTCTCTACTCCTTTTGAGGTAAGCACATCTGTAAATCAAAGCTATAGGAAGTATCTCTCTTCTTCAACTTTGTATTGTTATGGTATTGATTACAGATTGTTCTGGATTTGGTAAGTTTATCACATTGTTTATTGTACCTTGTGCTCTTTTCGGTATCCAGAGATTTGGTTTATTTGAGTGTCTCAATGCTTTCTGGTCTGTCAACAACCAGATAATAAAATACTATCAAGAGAATTTCTCACGTGTATGAATTTCATAGGTTAAACTGTCAAAAGGCTGCAATGCGCAGTTTGAGGATGGCCAGAAACCATTCTAGCTCAATGCAAGAAAGGTTAATTTATGAAGGATGGATTCTATATGATACTGGCTATAGGGATGAAGCACTGGCTAGGGCTGATAGGTCAATTACAATACAGAGATCATTTGAAGCCTATTTCCTAAAAGCATATGTATTAGCAGATACGAGTCTGGATCACGAATCTGCTTCTTACGTTATCGAACTTCTGGAAGAAGCACTTAAATGTCCTTCAGATGGTCTTCGCAAAGGACAAGTAAGTGACCTCATCCACAATCCCTATTAATTATTAAGTCTTGGTTCTCCAGTCATTTGATTGTCTTCTGCAATATTTTGTAGGCACTAAATAACTTAGGGAGTATTTATGTAGATTGTGGTAAGCTCGATCTTGCGAAAGCATGCTATGAGAACGCCCTTGCAATTAGGCACACTAGAGCTCATCAAGGTCTAGCACGAGTATATCATCAGAAAAATCAAAGAAAAGCTGCATTTGACGAGATGACCAAGCTAATTGAGAAGGCAGAGAGCAATGCCTCAGCATATGAGAAACGATCAGAATACTGTGACCGTGAGAGGGCAAAGGTTGATCTGGATGTAGCAACCCAACTGGATCCATTAAGGACATATCCATATAGATACAGGGCAGCAGGTATTTCACTTGTCTTTCATTCTTTACCATCTGCCATGTGCTTGTTAATTGGAGACAGGGATTTAGTTAATATGTTTGTCCTCAGTGTTGAATTACTAATCTAAAGTTAATTATCAAAATTGCTTTCATTTGTTTGTTAAACATGAAGAAGTATTTTTATTTTGAAACCTGATGTTCTTATTCAGTTTCTCATAAACCTATTTCATACGTTACTAACAAGGCACTTGTTGCATAGTGGATTTCTTGGCATGGCCAAGCCCTGAAGCCTATAAACACATGACTATGTTCTGTCTGTATTTAAGTATGTGACTATTTCCTACGTTACTTGTTTAATTTGTACTTTGCATACTAAGTTGGCCATCTATATTTAAATCAATAAGTTGATTGAATTGGTATTCTGGAACGACAGTTATTTAGCATTTTTCCATGTTCTGGTGATCCTCAACCTTTGAAGTTGTCATGATCACACGATTGACGCTATTGCTATTTTGGTAAATATAGATTGAGACCCTTTGCAAGTTTTTTATGAGAATGAGTATCATTTGTGAATAGAAAAATATAAATTCCGTGCATATTTGTATGATGTTTCATGGTTAAACCTTGATTTTATTTTTTATGTGATTTTGTCTTTGTTTAAGTGTATTTGTGTTGTGACACCACTATCTCTTTGATGCTTGCATCATGATGGACCTAGTTGCTCATCACTGTAAATCTATTAAAAAGTTAAAAAAAAAAAACTCAAATAACCTGACACTACGAAGTAAATACTGAAAAACTTGTTGATAAATTTGTTTACAAAAGTATTACCTTTTTGTAATTCTTCAACTTGAAGCATCAAGATCCTTGGTCTGTGAACAGTTTGTAGTTCAGTATGTGGTGTGCGGAATACATGCAAAAAAAATTGAAATTTGTTAGTAAATGTAATAGGATTGGATTCTAAACGTCAGATCAGTTTTAAAAGGACATTTTTTCAAAGAAAAGTCAGAAGAGGATAATTAATGTATGGCTTTAAATTTGTATCAACATTTAACCTGCGCTTCATAAGTTAATTTTAATGGTAGGTCAAGAGACACACTTGTTAAACTGCATTTTACTCACATACAATGTCACATGATCAGTGATGATGGATGAGCAAAAGGAGTCTGAAGCTGTAGAAGAGCTCACCAAAGCCATAAATTTCAAACCTGACTTGCAAATGCTTCATCTCCGAGCAGCATTTTATGAGGCAGTAGGGGACCTCTCTTCGGCTCTTCAAGATTGTCAGGCAGCTCTATGCTTAGACCCTAACCATACAGACACGCTAGATTTGTATCAAAGGGCGCGAAAATTAAGCTTTTAATCATAAACAACACGCACATCAAATGGTTGCAATGTGAAGATCTTGATTAGAAAATTGCTGGGGCATCCCAACTTTGCTAAGACACAAGGTGTTGAAATAGCCAAAACCCCCCAAGAAGCAATGCTTGGATGATTCAGGGAAAAGATGGAGTCATGTGTTTCGCATGATCAAATAGGAGGATGATGATGACTCGGGTGTAATGAGAAGATGTGCAGAATAGTAACTCCGTTTATCTAATATAGATTCTTGTGAGCCTTGTGCACATAATTTATCTCACACATTTGTACAGTGAAATGGTTATGATTTATAGAGATTCACACTTTGTTTCCTAAAGTGTATAATTTATTCCTCTTGATGGAGATTTTATTTTTATGCATCTTGCCAAAGGGAATGATAATAATGTGTTTCCTACTCATCAAATGATAATAATTGACGATGATGATCTACTATACGTCACGAGCATTTCCATGTCTAGCATTTTAGAAACAAGGAAACATTACTTACATAAACTATGTATTCACAGATCAAAACGAATTTGTTTCCTTCTATAAACAAACATAATACAACGCATTTCCCTGGCACAACAGCAGTTTCCCAAAAAATATTCAAAGGGGTATTATTAAGGAAGCACTCTCTGTCCCTCCAAACATTAACAAAAGTCAATTCCTGTACAATGAGACAAATGTTATTTGTTCTTTACATGTTTTTCAGCTGGCTTCAAAATATTAATATAAACATAAATACTTCGTAAGTGCACGAATTTCAAATTTAGAGCAACTGTACAAATTATCATTTCAGTTTTATTCGGCTTATAAGACTAATGCCTCAACTTGAATCAGTGGACGTAATTGCCATTTCTGCCCACCAAAGTGGGGATGCTTTTGGATTTGCTCCATCAGGCCCCATAGCTGTTATTTCCTTGAGTCTAGATGTAACTTCTTTCATCGTTGGCCTTTTCTCTCGATCTGGATGTACACAGTTTCTTATCACTTCCGACCATTCTTCAATCTCTTCTTCCTGCAAAGAGTTCAGGCTCGGATCCACAACATCTCTTAAGGATTTCCCCCACCTTAAATATTCTGCCGCCCAATCTGCCAGAAGTTCATTGTTCCCAGCAAAGGGGATTTTCCCCGTAATCAACTCAAATAATATTATTCCGAAGCTGTAAACATTGTCCTTGGCATCTGCTGATGATGTTTCCAACAGTTGTGCGGTTGCAGACCCATTCTTTGCAGCACACATGTCATTCCATAAACTAAGATCTGATATTTTAGCAGCATAATCTTCAGTAAGGTATATAAATGAAGATTGCAGGTTTCTATGGGCAATGGAGGGTTTTAGGTCATGCATATACTCTAGGCTGTAGGCTATTCCCATAGCTATCCTCATTCTCATTCTCCAATTTAGTTCTTCTGCTTCTCTAACTGCAGCATATGCAAGACTAAAGTCAAAACTCATAACAACTTGCAAACAATTTTCAAGATGTCAGCGAACTAATGAATAAGTTTTTGCTACAAAATACAAGCCTTTTCCTCACATCCTGGTTGCAGAAGTTAGGTTGTTATGAGCCTGTCATAATCAAAGGATGTGGTTGTGTGGACGTGTTTCTGCTAAATAAAATATGAAAAGAATATCACTCACTGTGTATATGCTCAAAGAGTGTTCCATTTGGAGCGTACTCAAACACCATCATTCTTGCGAATGGCTTGTTCTCTTCACAATACCCAATTAAATTCACAAAATTCTTGTGATTCACTCTAGATAATGTCGCTATCTGCAATCATGCAAAGATAATAAGTAGGACCGGGATGATAAATGCGATGCATTTGCTACAGTTGTTGCTAGCATACCTTGTTTCGAAATTGAGTTTCCATACTTTTTGACCATTTTTGAGCTGTGTTCACTGCAGAGGATGCTACAGCTATTTCGACTCCACTGGAGAGAGTCCCCTTGTACACAGTTCCATCAGGAAGAGAACCGATAATGTTGCTGAAATATTCACAAGCTGCTTCAATCTCTCCTCGTTTGAGACTTGGCACACCTTAATCACACATAATAAATGAGTTAACTCAATCCCAGATAAAGAAATAGTTCTAGTAAAATAACTTCATTCTTTGAATTTACAATACATTTTGAAGGCTTTAGATCCAGAATGACCTATTGCAAGCGTAAATTACCTTTTACAAAGGCTTTCTGCAGCTGGCCACTCAACCCTGTGGACCAAGGTTTAACACTCACAACCTTCCTACTTCGGAGGCAAGCAAAAATAATGGCTGACACCAAAATCAATAAAGAGAAGCCCCCAACTGAAGACCAGATTATCGCCGAATGATGTATTTGATTGGAACTGTATGTCTTCCCTTGGGTAGAAAATGGAGAAGGGCTAGGTGCTGAGACCCAATTAAACTCTGGTGGTGTAGACACAGCGAGAGGAGTGTTTGCTGGGGGTGATGTGTCTGGAGTTAGTAACACTTCAGGCGAAGGAGAGGGTGAAGGAGTGAAAAAAATATCTGAGGGAGATAATGATGGTGAAGGTGAGGGACTTTCGGATGGTGAAAACGGCGATGGTGATGGTGATGATGAGAAAGACTCAAAATTTGGTGGTAATGAAAAAGGGAAATGAGATGCTAGTTGTTTAAGTATCCCTCGGTTAACTTCCCCGTGGATTCTGGGTATACTAGCAGCAGTTGCTACTTTGAGAAGTTGCCTCCTATACGCTTTATCCCCATGTTGGCCAATGCGCCTGAGATAAAATTGTCACAAGCAAAAATTTCAAACTTAAAGTGAAGATGAACTTCACAACGAATAAGCACGTTTTTAGCTATATTGGACTGAGGATTATTATCATGTTAGAGCTATGTTATGGTAAAAGAATTATGTCATTCAACCATGTACTGAGGAAACTGTTCATCAAATCCAAATTCTAATGATGAACTCAGAAATCAGTTGTGTGCAATCCATCATTATATGCTTACCATAAACTACATCTGCCAACATATGCTTCTCTAGTCGTGGTGGCACCAGTTAGTTGTTCTTCATTAGCATGAAATTCAGCATTCATCGTGAGCTTATACAGCTCTGGAGTTAAATTGGTCAGATAGTAATTGTTGTCCAATAAACTGCAGTATAAATTTGACGGTAGTAGTCAACCAAAGACCAAGATAGAAAGAAAGTATTTGGCATGAAAGGATTAGCTTACAGAGTTGTCAGAGATGGCATATTGACATGGTCAAATGGCAGTGGTCCACTAAAGTTGTTAAGTCCCAAGTCAAGGACTTCCAGCTCTTGTAGGTGTAGAATATCCTCGGGAACTTCTCCAAAGAAAGAATTATTACGCAAAATGCTGCGAAGAATACAGAGTATACAAAGTTGGTTAAGGAATATTCATTTCTAAAACATGCATTGGCATGTGCAGCATCTTACATTGATTTTATGTGAGCTAGATTTCCAACTTCTGGTGCTAGAGTTCCTTCAAGACAAAGGTCTTTCAAATTCCTGCAAGTTGAATATTCAGTACCAGTGTTAATTGTATGTTTATTATGTACTAACGGACAGAAAAAATGTGGTTTAATTCTCTATTTTTGGTTAACATTGACTTAATCCCTACACTCTTAATTAAAACGGTGACTTTTGTTCTTTATATTTTTTTTTATTATAGATTAATTTTGTGTATCACCCTCTCATAAGGATCTATGAAATTCACCTATTATAAAATATATAAGGACCTAACTCATCGATTTTAAAATACATTAAGACTAATTTTAAATAGAGAGCTAAAAAGTTTTTTATCCTTTAGAAATCATACAACACTCTTTTATATTTTTGTTATGAATATTGTTTACTTGAAAAAAAAAAAAAAAAATTCCGTGGTTGGATATCTCTCTTCATTCGATTCTTCAATATAAGATGGAAAACATCACTCACTCATTTGGAGAAATAAAATAGGTAAACAGAAAGAGAAAAAATATACAGATCTATTTATTCGGAAACTTAAAAAATTTATATTTATTTTATCGTTATTTTTTGGCAGCTTAATAATAAAATAATTTATTATTTTAAATTATTATATTATATAAAATAATAATAAAAATTATTAATTTTTGTTCTAGAAATAAATATATGTCATATATATATATATATATATATATATATATATATATTTTGAAATAAGGAATTAATTTACATAAATAATTATTTTGAACCATTATCTTTTTAACAATATTTTATAACGATGATTATATTTTTATGGATAAAATGCCTTCGTGTCATTTATGGTTATTCTTAATATTTTTTATAATTTAATTATAATTTTAAAATATAAATAATTGTATTTGCCATAAAATGATTTTATTGAAAAATTATATTGATTCAATATTCAAATATTTATTAACCTTGCCAATTATAATTTAGAGAGTATATATATTTTATGTTAATTTAATATATTTTCATACCATAGTTAATAGCAGTTTTTATTAAAAAAAATATGGTATATATCATACCAATTTTTATAAATATGAGAAATATTGTCCTTATACATTTATCCTTTTTCACAATTTGAAGGATACATTAATTAATTTTGTGAATTATAACACTATCTTTACTAATTATTTTATACAACTTTCATATAATACCGTAATAACTAATTGAAATAATTAGCAGAGATAGTCCTACGATAATTAACAAGATTGTTTACTTATGTCAGTTAAAGTTTTTTTTTTTTTTAATTATTTTATAACTCTAAATATTTATTTTTTTAATTAGTTCTAGTAAACTATTTGCTTCAATGCCATTTAAAATATTGAAAAAAAAAATCATAAAAACATCGTTATGAAAAAACAGTTTTGAGCATATGATACCTTTTTAAAGGAAACAAACCGACAATATTCTATAGATTTATTTCAATGATCATTTTTTTTAAATGAATTTTTGAACATAAAAGTTCAGAAAGAAAACGAACATACTGATTAATGCATTTTATTTAATTTAGTTTAGAGAACCTGCATATTTGTGATACCATCATCATCATATTAATTAACTGTGTTAAACTCCATGAATACGGTATATGATTAAATTATAATATATAATTAAAATACAAATTTTGTTTAAAATTGAATTAGATTGTTATCCATATTTTTAATAATTATTAAAAAAATAAGTTTTCCGGGTAGAAGAAGGCCAGGTTTTCTTGCCGGCCAATTTAACAGGAAAATCAAAGGCTAATAATGACCAGTGTGTCCATTATTAGAGTCAAAACCCGTTCAAACGTGGTTTATAACAGTGCCAAAAACAACCTCAGCAAAATTATTCAATTGCATCTTTAATAAATTCAAAAGAAAGGATGAAATCAAATTATTATCTTTTCAAATTTTTCTTGCCAAATGAAATATTAGCAATTGCAGTTGCATTTGCATGTCAATTTGATTTAAATTTAATTACAATTATTCTTCCAAATATTAATATTTTTTTTAACAAGTGGTGAGAAAAAAAAAAAAAAACTAAGGAGATGAGAGGTTACTTACACAGTCACAACATTACCGTGAGAACACTCGACACCAAACCACGAGCATGGATCTATATCGTCTCCATTTTCGCCACTCCAGCTTGATAAAGCTCCCTGCGGGTCTGACACCAACCTCTCCTTCAACGCCAGCAACGCCAAACCTGCAACACCAAAGCGACACACCGTTTCATAAACTTAACCAGAACCCTCTCTCGATCAAACACCAAAATGACCACTCCACGCCGTCGTTTCTGTAACCACCATTATCTACCTTCGCTCTCGAGACTTGAACAGAAACTCTGTTTCTGGCTCAACACCAAAAGCAGAGTCAGCACCGCCAGAAATAACTTCATCGGAGCAAATGCTGCCATGGTGAGACGATGAAGGAAATTATTCACCGTCTGTTTCTGGTTAAGAGAAAGAGAAGCGACTTAGAGAGAGAATGAGCGTGCCTGGTAGCAAATAGAGAGAGAATGATTGCGGTAGCTATATATATATAGCACCACAAGCACAATAATAATGAAGCAAAATTATAGTAATATGTTACTAATCAAGTTTTATATCTAATCTAATTAGTATCTATTTAAAATAAACCTACCAAGCGTTGCTCTAGTTTTTTTTTTTTTTTTAATTTGGTTCTTCCATCTTAAAATATATTTTTATGACAATTATTTAATACAATTGTTTTTCAAGTAAAACGTCCAAATCTTGTCATTATCTAATTTAGTCATTGATGTTAGAAAAAAAACATTGTTAGTTTTTTTTATTCAATTATAGATATTAAATATATATAATTTAATAAGATTTCATTCCTTAATTAATCATGTTTTTTATTTACGGAAGTTACATCATGAATAAATTTAAAATCAATTATACTCGAATCAATACAAGGTTTAGAGTAAGTTGGTTCTAATATAGTCAAATCAATCAATTTAAAAGTAAATTTGATATGAAAAAATGATTAAAATACACTAAATTTAAAAATAAAGTTGAGGGTTGATTATAAAATGCATGGATGAAATTTTCTCTTAATAATATTAAGAACAAAACTAATAAGTAATTATAAAGTACAAAGTAATTTATTTTTTAATATCGAGATAAAATCAATAGATGATACTAGTTTAAGGAATAAAATTAAGAATTTATTTTATATTTTTCAACCCTTTAATCCATTATTATTTTAAGTGAAAATTTGTACTATTAGGTTAATAACTTATTTTGAAGACCATTGCTTAATGAAATTTGCATAATTTGTAAAAGTTACTTATTGACATGTCATTATCGAACTATATTAGTTGCTGCAGACTAAAGCTTAAAATTAAATTTCATAGGTTGATGGCTACAACAAAGTCTACCTAGGTTGAAGCTATTAATGGGTTTAGTCACCGGTTTGTTGGTTCCACCAACTGTCTAATAAACAAACCTGTTATTATATCAAAAGTAAGACAAAAAGATCATTTTTTTATGGACATAGTTCGTACAGTATTTATATCTCAAATTTGATAACATTAAAAAGAAAAAAAAAACTTGCATTTTTACAAGGATTTTGTTTGAGTTCAATCCAACGAAAATGATTACATTTTTGTTTAAAGATAATAAGGTAAGAAGTGTTAGAAAAGAAGCAATCAAAGAACGATGTTGCAGTACAACCTGCTTTTCTCAACAACACAATGTATCGGAACAACAGAGGTTGAAGAAAAAGATATATATGTAGCCAAGAAACAAAGGAAATTTATGAAAAAAATAAAATAAAAGAACAACCTAAAAACATTTTTTTTAAGATGGGCATAAAATGATTATGAGAAAAGATTGCAATTATTGACGTATAATAGTTAGTTTTTACTGTTTATAATAGTATTTATAAATGGAAACGACAAAACAAACTAAATAGAGCAAACCATATGTTAAACTAGTTCTTAAAAATTTACGTACACCAGGAATTCAAACTTAAATATTATAATTAGGCTTTGTTTTGGTCCCACAATCACTATTTGTTTCATATGAAACTTTTTTATGTTTGTTTCCTTTTTTAATAAGTTTTTATTTTATATTAATATTTAATTTAAGACTTACACATCTTTAAAATATACGAAAAAATGTTAATATATATCAAGAATATGATATCACTTAAATGAAAATTTAACAACACATATCAATATGTATTTACCCTAAAAAAATTACATATAGAATGAAAGAAAATTAAAAGTTTTTTCTCGTTTTTTCTTAAAAAAAGAAGTTAAAATGGTGTTAATTATTTTTTTGTCAGTTTTTATCCTTTTTTTTTTTTGGTTTTGACCAATTCCTTTTTTAGGTCATTTTTAATATTTATTTGAACAGGTTAGCTGCACTAGTTGCCCAATCCTATTGACCAATCCAAACTTTAAAACAAAACAAAAAATACATAAAAAATCATATGGTTTGAATTTGCAATATTTCTCTGGTGAATATACAGTTTTTTAGAAAAAGGCTATCTATAACGCATATGCCACTTTCATATAATTATATGTACATAAAATAAACCAAACATGTTATAAGCTTAAATTTGATATGATCGAAAACTTAAATAATAGTATGCATATAATAAGCCAAACATGGTATAATGGTCGCTATCCAAATTCATATATAATTCCTTAAATAAAGCAGAAGAAAAACACTTGAACTTTGAACTGCTCCACATAAGTTCATATTTGTATCATTTAGTTGGAGTATCTAAAAAGAGGTTTCTTAGATATTCTTTTTTATTTTTTATTTTTCTACCTAATTAAGGCCTGCACAAGACAAACAATAACCAAAGCTAGTGTATATGCTGGCCTTCTAACAACAATAAGATTATTAAAGTCTTGGTTATAAGGATTTGAATGAATGCCATGTGGACCAAAGTTGTGTGAATGGAAGTTAAACAAGATGATAAGTTCTCACTCAATATGATTCTCTAACAATGAGAAAAAGAGGAAATTGAAATGACAATGTGATTACTTGAAAAGCAAGAACATGTTAGATGAGGGATAATGATACACAACCTTCTTCCAAAGTGACACCAGTAATGTAAGATCATTTTGCTCTTTATCTTCACTTTTTTTTTTTTTTTTATAAACTTAGGGTTGAAATCTTTGGAACATAATTTGTAGCAAGTTATATGACCCCTTGGATGAAGAAAACTATCTTAAGAGAGACAACGATGTAGGTGAGAATAATCCTTAACATATATATTAGTTTTATCAATCTTGAAGCTGGGTTATTTTACTCCTAATCAGGATAATTAATTTGTGATCGTTACATAGAAAAAATTATTCTTTAAATTATGGCTGAACTAATCGTTTGTAAACCCTTGAGAATGTACTTTCAATTTTCCTCATAAACAGGAAAAGTGATGAAAGCTTCCTTAAACATGAACAATGACAATATATGGCGAATATTTAGTAGGTGCTATAACCTAAAATATTACTATATAAATTTGAATATTACATAAAAATTACTCAATGCCATCTTAATTAGTGAAGTTTAAATAGAATAATTAATTATATGCTTAAATTTATTATTTAGATAAATTAGTGTATTTCAATTCATGTCTCTATCAGCATCAATTTTAATGTTTATGCGATTCATTTAGAATACAAATTCGAAATATATTTTTATATTAATTATTTATTTTATTTATTTAAAAATTAAGATATATTATTTTTTTGAATTATTATATTATAAAAAATTATTATATATATATATATTAACAAAATAAGAATTCGATATTTATATTTATTTTTTAGTCTTAATTATTAAATAATAATAAAAAAATATTAAATATTTAATTCTTAATTTTTTAGATAAATAGATTATATATATATATATATATATATATATATATATAACTATTAATTAGTATTTATTCAAAAGGATAGTCTTTCAGTCCGATTAATTTATTTTAAAAATAAAATTGATAATATTTGTTATTATTAAAAATAGTTAAATATATGAGTTTAAATTCATCTATTTTTTGTAATCATTCATCTATTATTTACGTTAACAATTATATATATATATATATATATATATATATATATATATATATATATAAAGAAATAAATGATAAATGAAAATATTTATTTCAATAAATTACATGCCTTATAACTAAAAATAAGTTGTTAAATCATCTACTACTAAAAATTCTCATTTTTTATGGGAATATTTTTGCAAAATTTTGGTAAAAATTGCAAGAAATAAGTTTTCTATAAATTTAAACAATTTTTTGCAAGAAAATTGACAGAAAAAAACTAGTTTTTTAGTAGTAAAAATATACCTACAGAAAAAAATAGATATCTATTTTTACAAATTAAAAAGTAACAATGCAAATTCAAAATTTAAATTCCAATACAAATTCAAATGTTTAATACAAATATAAATGAAAGGACAAAATGTTTTGATTTTATAAATGAGATTTGTTTCTTTTACGAAAAATATTGAAAATAAAATATTGTTTTTTAAACAATAAATCACACTTTATATTTTTAATATGATTAATTTCATTAAATAAGATTAAGTAAATGTGTTTTTAACGGTAATGTGATATAATAGAATAGTAACTTAATTTTTTTAATATATACATTATAGATGTATTATATACCCGTGTATACTTACATCACCCATTGTTTTAAACTATTTTTTAGAGAATAATAGAGAGGAAAAAATCTTAGAGATTTTCTTTGTTCCTTTCAAAATGAACTTGAGATTTTTTATTTTTTTTAACCAGTAAAAGATTTGTTATGGACAATAGAGTAATTTTAATTCACTGTCTAGTTGGTTATTTTTTTATTAAAAAAATTAATTAAAATTTAAACTAAAATAAATCTATTACACTTATAAATTTTACATGTTTTAGAATTGAAGTCGTAAATAATTTATATACAATTTTTAAAATATTTTAAATATAAAAATTAACTCTAATAATAATATCACAACCCACGTAATATCAAAACTCTCTCTTTAAAACATTTGCCATCAAAACGTGAAATTGAATGAATTTGTTTAGTGCGCTTATAATTTAATTATTCTTCTATATTTAGTTATTTCCTTAAATAATGTAGGTTAGTCTCAGTTACGATTATTATCAAATAGACAAGGGAACTTCCTGTTCTAGCAGAAAATGGCTTACGACCTTTGCCATCTCATCCTGAGTACGACACGGATTCATTTCTACGCCACACCACTCCCAATGAGAAGAACCTTCTTTCTTTTTTTCTTTTTTCTCTTAAAAACAGAACCTTGTGTTCAAACCAACAACGTTGAATGGTTAGAAATTTGTGTCCACCAAAATTGTCTTCTAAATTTTTTACGGTTGTTTTTTAGTTATCACCAGCCTTATCCGTTATATCTGTCAATTCTTAACCTTTTCTTCTTCTTTTAACTCAAACTCAAACATTCCAACCAACATGTTCTTCCAATCATATAGCACAAGCATTTCCAAACCTATCTTACTGTTAACTGTTACCAATGAAATTAGGGATATTCGTTCACAAAATTCACACTGAATTGAAAAAAAGTATCTTTAATGAAAATGCATTAGAGCATGCAGTGATTGTCATTTATTTTTAATTTCCCAAGTGAGGTGACGTTGATATATGCCCGTAGAAAATAATTGCAATAGCATAAATGCTTCTCACTTTAACATATAATTCATTCCACTATCAATAACAATTATAATAATAAGAAATAGTAATTAAACTTGTATTTGAGTTATGGATTAATCACCATCTCAAATTAAAAAAAATATAGTAATGAAACATGCTTTTATTTTTTTTACTTTAAAAAATTAAAGACGAAAGGAAGAATATAATATCTATTTTGATTTTATTCTTATCGTCGTTTTTATATTTAAATTTAAATTTTAATATTTTAAAATATTTTATTTTCTTTCTTATATTTTAATATTTTTATATATAATATTTTTTTATATTTTACAATTTTTATTTATTTTATTTATTTTTTATTTTATTTTTTTTCAATTTCTTAAATTAATCAGTTTATCATATTATTTTTTATTTTTGACTTTTGTGTATTTTCTTAATTTTTTTCATCATTTGGTTTTGTAATCTTTTCAGACAAATATAAAGTTATTTTTTTTTAATATTTTATATCAATCTTAATATTATTTTATTTTAAATTTATCTTTATTATATTTTATTATATTATATTTTTAAATTTTATTATTCGTGTTTATTATATATCAAACTTTTTTAATAAATTAACTATTTTAAAAATATTAAAAATAATTAATAATTCAAATTTTTATTATTTTAAATTAATTAAATAAAAATTAACATTAAATATTTTTTTAAAATTATATATTTCATATTTATAAATATTTTAAAATAATCACTTAAAACTAATTAATTTATATATATAATTAAATATTTAAATACACTGTCATCATCATCATCATCATAATAATAATAATAATAATATTATAAGTATTTTATATTTATGTAAAAAAATTAAATATTTATTTTACATATATATTTTAATATAAATATAATAAATTAAAAAATATATTTAATTAATAATTATTATTATAAATTATAAAAAATTATTTTCATAAAAAAATTACATTAAAATTATTAAAATTAATTTATTATGATCTTTAATTATCTTTTAGAAATAATAGGAAAGAAGGAGAGGTTGAGTACGGGAAACCAGACCGAGATGGAGGCTTCAGTGGAGATTATGATGGAAACGAAAATATTAAAAAAGTGGAGATAGAATAAACTTATCGTATAAAAAACTTTGTTTTTATCATAAAACAATTAACAAACACGTCATTTTAGTTTAATTAGTAGTATAGAATTTAAGTATCATATAAAGAATATTTATGATGTTTCAAAAAATATAATAAATTTACCACATAAACACTGTTTTTTATGAAAAATCAATTCAACACACAGAGAGGCATATACACATAAAAAATTGAACTTGTAATATAATTATTTAAAGAAAGTCATAATTAATGAGAAAAAAAAATATTAATGACATATGAGGGAAACCTAAAGTCACACTTAAATTTTTTAACTTTCCTTAATTTAGAGGCATTATCATCGGTGGTTTATCATATGTCTATAGTTAAATTTGTAGAAATATATATTAAAAAAAAGTTCGAAAGGTAAAAAAAGAATAAATGAAAATGAAATTACCAGAGTAAATAAAGCGCAGCAAAATAAAAGAAAATAATAAAGTGTTTGAAGTAAATTATTGAAAAAGAGAAAAGAAATATATAAATTACTTATACAAAAATTTACCTGAAAAAATAATTAGGAACATTGTAATAATCCGTCCACCCAAAATAAATCAGTTGTTTGATGGTGTAAGTTACATTTAAAAAAATGTTAAAAAAAACAACAACTTATAGTATAAAATAAATACAAAAATAAAATATACACAACTTTTTTCTTATAAGAAAAAAGAGTACAATGTGATTGAAAAAAAGAGCTTCCAGATGAAGATAGAGAAACTCACACACATTGTATCGTCTATCTACGATCCCCACCGACTCTCTCACACATTCAGAAAACTAAAAAGAAATAAAAAATATTAAAAAACAAAATCTACATAATGTGATTGAAAAAGGAAATGGGTTCAGTTTTGGATTTGATGGTGAATTTGGGAATGTGACAAAGTTGGTGAATTTGCAAGACAAGAAGGACATCTAAGGAGACCGTTTTGATTGCACATGTTACACGTTTTGAAGCCAACCTTGTCGATGTAGTGTTTCTTGCTACCGTTACAGGTGTCGCACAGAACGAATCTGTGACCCGCGCACATGTGGCATTCAGATGGATCCAGTACGGGTAGGTTTTCGAGAAGCTTCTTGAGCTCGCCACCGTCGTTGAGTTGTCTCAACTCCTCGACCCCACCAACGTACTTACCAGCTATGAATACATGGGGCAAGCCCAACTCGGCCTGCCTCAGGCCCATTATTTGTTTTAGTTCGGCCGCAAAGCCCGAGTCGATTGACACGTCACGATCGTCAATTTTAACGCGAAACCCACGTAGAATAGAGAACACGTTCTTGCACGCATCAAACGTGGGTCTCACCGCGTGGAGGCTCGTGTAGTACACCACCACGCACTCTTCTGCTAACGGGAAGTAAATTGGAGGTTGTTTTTTGGGTATTGAGACATTCGGTTCGGGTTTTGAGACACCAGGATCGGGTAGTGAGACGTTATGTTCGGGTTTTGAGACACCAGGATCGGGTAGTGAGACATTCGGTTCGGGTTTTGAGACACCAGGATCGGGTAGCGAGACGTTCGGTTCGGGTTTTGAGACACCGGGTTCGGGTAGTGAGACATTCGTTTCGGGTTTTGAGACACCAGGATCGGGTAGTGAGACATTCGGTTCGGGTCTTGAGGCACCAGGATCGGGTAGTGAGACGTTCGGTTCGGGTCTTGAGGCACCAGGATCGGGTAGTGAGACGTTCGGTTCGGGTTTTGAGACACCAGGTTTGGGTAGTGGTGAGACATTTGGTTCGAGCTTTGAGACGGTAGGTTGTGGTGGTTCGGGGTGGGAGCGAGTTCGGGAGAGTTTAGGAGGTTGGGATTGATGCTGGATATGAGTTGACCAAGTTCGAAGGAGAGAGTTGGCAAGGCGAACTCGATGAAAAATGGAGGGTTTTTTTTTGTGAGAAGAAGAGGGTTTGTCTTGGTGACGTTGGTTTTGGGGTTGTGGGGGTTCGTCGAGGAGGGTTTGGATGTCTTTAAAGGAAGAGCAAGAAAATGGGGAAGAAGGTGATGTTTGAACAGTTGATTTTCGCCACGGTCGCCACATTGAAGGTGGGGGAAGCTTCGATCTTCTCTTTTTGTGTGTTCAATTCTCTTCACTCGGATTTTGGGAGAAATAAGATCTTTTGGAAAGTGGGTACGGGAAAAGAATGAATTTTGGGGAGGAATGGTTTTTAAGGGTAAAGGGTGAATTTTTTGGGTTTTGTTTCTATTTTTGTTGTTAGGGATGATGGATTGGTGGATAAAGAGATGGGCGAAATTTTGGTTGCTTAAAATTTAGGCTTTGGTGGTGGTGAATTTTGCAAAGTTTGGGGAGGTCCTCAGCTTTTTGTTTCTTTTTTTATAGGCAGGGACAAAGAAGAAAGAAAAAACGATGGAAATTAGAGAGAGAGAGAGAGTAATTGTGTTAGGGTTGAGAGGTAGAGTTTATAGGTGGTTAAATGGTTAAGGTGTTGATTTATTTTGATTTGTAATAGGCTTTGATGGGATTTAATAGAGATCAACAAAGAATGGGAGGCCCTCGGTTTAGACGTTTATGCAAATTAAACTATTCGTGGATATTATATCATCTTTTTTATATAATTTTTTGGTAAAATCTAATGGATCTATACTTTTCCTTTATATCATTGATTATATGATATTTAAGATTCGGTATATTAATTATAAGAAATTTAATTAATATTTTAAATTTTGAAAATTATTATGTAATTTGTTATATATTTATTATCCATTAATCTTAATTAGATTTCTTCTTGTATTTATTATTTTCCATTTCATACGAAATTTACTTCAGATATAATAAAAATATATAATATATTATTAATATTCTAAACTGGTTATCAGGATAAAACAAATGAATACCAAAATGATTATCATCTTATTTTTTAAAATTAACTGTTATTTTTAAACAACTATTTGAATAACTAATGACTTTGTTTAAAGATGAACTTGCATTTAATAAATGACTGAGAAACGCGATTCTAGTGCTGGCAAAAAATAAACACGTTATGATAATTTTGAATCTAAATTATGTGTATTGTTTAAAGATGTAAATGTTATAGTTCTTTTGGGGGGAAAGCATGAAAAAAGCTCAAAGGAAACAAGTTTGACCTCTAATTAATATTGTTTGAAATAAAATTTTAGAATGTAAAAAATATTTATAAATATTAACGGTGATAAAAGTATTAGTTGGCATACAAAGAGGCTTATTGAAAAACATTATTTCATTTTATTCTTATTGATTACTTATAACCCAAAAATACTTCATGCATAATAAATTGTACACAGTCCTAGTAAATTTATATTTTTATAATAGTTATCACGAGTAATAATTTATTAACTTTAATCTTCTGGAATCTGAGTGAATTTTGTGAATAAAAAATATTATTTAAACTATCATTACAGAGAAGTGTGGGAGCCAGTGATGAAGAGGAAGTGGGAGGAGAAGGGTGGAAGATGTAACTGCATGGAGAGGAAGAATGTGGGAGAGACGAATTGTCCATCGTCAAATTCGTAAATTCACAAATCATTACAAAATTTGACCATTTCCAAACTTTCCTTCCAGGTCAACACAAAAGGCCACCCAAATTCAACTTTATATCTCTATAAGTTCTTCAATTAAAAGATCACCACACGTGCACATAGCCTTTTTATTAATAAATCATCTTTATCAATTGGGCTAAAAAATCCATAAGTAAACATTTATATTTTTTATTATTATTAAGACTCAAATAGCTTCCTCCAATAAAATTTTCTTATTCTGAAGACTGGTATTTGATAATCTCTAAAATTTGTGGTAAATTGTTCCCTCGCAAAAACCTTATACCATATGTTCAGACTTCTTTATCCAAAAAAATAGATGTGGAGTGCATGAAACAAGAATGAAAAATTTACAAATATAGTCGTGCAAAACAACTTCATGGCCTAATAGCATTGTTGTGGTTAGTACTAGTTAACCTAAGTAAATTAAATATAATTAGTGAATATACTTTTTTCAGGCGACAACAAGCCCCATCGACGTCTCATGAATTCATCATCGCAAGAAACAAGGTATATAAAATAAATAAAAACAGAGCTAACGATATAACACTATAACACTTTCAATTCATATATATATAAAATATATTGATCGACAGTGTGTGTGCCCATTATGAATATGGAACGGAAAGTCAAGCATATTCTGTTGCTAACTAAAGATAAGTCTCAAGACACACCTGATAGGACGAAAACAACCTAACGGAAATAGATGGATATTTGGGGGATGTCAATGTCATTGTCCTCGTCATCCTCGCAGGCAACCACAACATCCAAGTGACGCCTGTACGCCGGTATGTCCACCTTGGCCACATCCCTAGCTAGATCCACTATCTTTCTGTCCATTCGTTCTTTATGCTTAGGGAACATGCTGTTATACAGCAGACAACTTCCACATGAAATACTATAAGCATTCAGACCTTTTGCCTTCAGCCACTCAAGAAGCTCCCTTAGAGTAGGATTGTCTTTTAGAATCCATCTGTCCCAAACTGTCCAACTCATATCTTGATGCTTGATGACCTTTGGTGGAACTGGCTCTGCCATGGAAAAGAGAGGCAGTGCTAAGTTGGCAAACGTGTTTCGGTAGTCCTCCACTTTGTGCCCTCCATCCAAAGCTTTGTACAGCTCCAGGCAGACAAGCCCGGTGGCCATAGCAGTCGAAGTTGCAATTGCAGGAATGATCCGCCCAGCAATAAACTTGGCCTTGAGCTTGTCAACTTCAGGGATGCTGTAGTTCCGTGCCCTCATGTTGGCAAGCCCAGCTATCAGGTCCATATGATAGTTTGTATCATCATCCTGTAGTTTTACACCACAAATAAATAAATAAATAAAATGTAGGTGGAAGAGTTCATGTACTCCTATTCTCAGCAAATACAAACTCAAACCTCACCAACCTAAAATCCCTAGTTGAAACTACTTTAAATTCAACAAGAACTAAGAAGGGTTTATCCAGCATCACTGAAAATTTAGACAGAATAAAAACTAAATGAAAGAAAAATATACCTTCTCAAATTGAACAGGTTTCATCCTGAAATCCGGTTGCAGCTTTGTTCGGCACACTTCTAACTTGGCAATTAGATCATTAATCACAGCTGCATCATCTACAGAAGCAGAAGAGAGACTGGTTGCCTTCTCATCTGTCACTATTTTTGCATCTTTCTTGGGCTCAAAGTCAGGTACGATCACTTTATCAACAACTTCAGCCAGCTTCTTAGGATTCTTACCCCAATCAGGGATTGGTATACCAAATGTTTCTGCACGTAATATAGAAGCTGCCATCAATAACTGCAGATGACCCAGATCAGAGGATGAGAATTCCAGTGGACGAGGGAATCGTTTTGGTGCAGACCAGAAAGGAGCTCCAGTACTAGTTGCAGCATCTTCAGGAAAAGTATAACTTAATTGCTTTACTCTGTTAACAAAATAATCTTCAAACCTGTAAATAAAAGAGCATGTATGAGTGTAGCACGTACAGAAAAAAATCTAACAAGCTCTGACAACATTACAAGAGAACACAAGCATATACTCAAACCAACATACTTTAGCCTTGCCCACAAAATACAATCTTCAAAAGTCAAACACTTATCCTCGTCCAAACACTCAAGAACACGCTCCAAGTTATCCCTCGCTTGAGCATCACCAGCATTCCTCATCGCATTAGTATATTCACTTGGATTAGATAAATATGCATTTACTTCAGCTGGAGTTTTCTCAAGCAAACCCTCAAACTCTGACCGAGCCCATGTCAAGCAGTGGTCAATGTTGTGAGGAAAGGAGTGAACAGTACACATTGGTGCCTGTTTCTCAGGTGGATCCCTTGATGCACCATAATTTTCTGTTAGGTGGGGAATGACCATTTGGGTATTGCATTTGGCTCCAAGAGTTCCAGATTCAAGAAGTGGCTTCTGGAAATACAAGCACCTCTGATCAACATACAGCCTTGCATTCACATTGTCTAATGCATTAATCACAACACTCAAATTTTCCCAGAAGGTGTCATGAAACACATTTTCAGTTTCAGTGCCAACACGATTTTGCAGAGCTTCGATATTCAGACGAGGATTTATAGAAGCAGCAGCTGAAGACGCAACTGTAGACTTCGCCTGGCCAATATTCCAATCACGGAAGAGGAACTGTCTACTTAGGTTACTCTTTTCTATGACATCATCATCAGTAATTGTTAGTTTTCCTCCACCACAAGAAACTCCCATTAGAGCAAGGTTTTTCAAAAATTCACATCCCAATGCACCAGATCCAACAACAAAAACTTCAGCATCTTCTAACTTCTTCTGCAACTTTCGTCCAAAAACTGAAATCTGTGCATCATAACGACTGTTTAATGGTTTCAAATCATTAGGATCCAGTGGTTCTGTAGGAAGTGATTCCAGCGAGTCAAAGTAGAAAAACTGCAAAGGTCATACAGAGAACGAAAGTTAAACCCGCAAAAAGGACAAGTATTGTAATTTCAGGGAAAATTTTGGTTAATAAATAGGAAAACAAAAAATTGAAGCATGGACTAGATATAGTTGCCTGACTCGTATTATTTATTATTCTATATATCCTAAGCAAAGATAAAAATGACAATATATTTTGGAACTGTTGGATTGGAACCCTGATCCCCAACACATTAGAATAAGTGTTTAAACTAATCTTGTATATATATATATATATATATATATAGAGAGAGAGAGAGAGAGAGATTTGTGTAATCATTTGGTTAAATTTTGGTGTGTACACTAGCGAGTGTACCAAAGCACAAACAAAGCTTTCTAGATACTACAGTAACACCTATAGGGGTGTCAACATGGGTTCTAACCCGTGAGTCAACCCGGCTCACTTAACCCACATGTTAAATGGGTTCGAACCGGGTTATGGTGGGTTTGCCCGTAACCCACTATTAATTTTAAATTTTAAAAATAATTATAATAATATATTAACCCTAATTAATCATTTATTTTAAATTTTAAAAATAATTATAATACTTTAGTAACCCTAATTGATGTTATCTTGTCTTACCTCTACCCTACATTGTTGGTTGTCGCCACAAGCCAAACCCTCACTTAAACTTGTTATCGATTGTTCGCTGCACCATTACGTTTGTTATTGCACTTGGGTCACTTGTCTTATTATCTCATCCACTGCACCACTACACCATGTCCACTCGTATTGCTTTCAAAGATAAAAATTTGTTGCATAACCTAAACTATTGGATTTATGAATCTTTATTTGAAAATTGTAGCATCTATATATTATTTGTTGTTTGTTATTATTTATACATATATCTCTTTAATATATGAATTTTTTACTTCTTTCTTTTAAATTAATTTACAAGTATAGAATCTGAAACAATACATCAAAGTGTCAATATAAATTGTATTGGTGATGATTTTATTATTAATGAAAAACCCAAAGAGCCAATTTCAGTTAATAACTAAGATATTGATGTTGAGAAAGAAAGGAAGAAAGCATAAGTTTCTACATCAGAAGTTTCTATATAATTTAAAAAATTAAAAAATATATGGGTTAGTGAGCCAACCCACCTAACCCACCAACCCGTGGTGGGTTGAGCCGGGTTGTAAAATTTCTGCCTCGCCAAAAAGTGAGCCGGGTTGAGCTCACCTATTTTCAGTTCAATCCGTGGTGAGCCAACCCGTGAGCCGGGTTGGCTCACTTTGACACCCCTAAACACCTATGGTTTTGCCACAAGTTATGGATAACTTTCAGTTCAAATAGTGTTAGGGGATATTTGTAATACTTGTGTGTAACAGCATAAGAATTTATGGGAGATCTGTGCGTAACAGCATAAGAATTTAAGGCAGGTTTATATATAATAAAAAAAGGAGGGGTATCAACTGAAATTTTGTTCAACTTCAAAGGGTGCAAGAGTAAATTGTCCTAGAAGAAAAGTACATGATCCAATAAGCAAAATATCAGTCAAGATCAAATTTATTTTTATGAATCAAATTCAACCAAGTATAGTAGATTGAGATGAATAAAACATCAAGTGAAGCAACAAACTGAACACACAATGAATCAAATTCAACAAAGTATACAAGATTCAGGTGAATAAAACATTGAAGTGAAGCAGCAAACTGAACACACAATAAAAATGGTTGACTAACAAGAGAAAAACATTTATAAAGGACAATAAAGGCACACTTCACTTGCACCGCACAATATTTCAAAATACATGATACAATTCACCAGCAAGAACAATATTACTTACTTGAAAAAGTGGATGAAATTTCCCAGAGCATGCCTTTACAACCTCTTGTCCTACAATTCCACCGAACATAGCTGCCATAGGGTTCAATACTGCCCGAGCACCAGAAGCAAATTGTTGTAGAAGTTTTGGATTCACATCTTCCAATTTTCCAGCTCCTAAGCTGTCATTAATATTACTGGCTATAGATACAAGTTTTTGTGCATCATCCTCTGAACCAGCAACAGGGAAGCGACCTATCTCGGAAACAAACTTATCCAAAGCCTGGAATGCTAAATGCAGTAGTGGTGGGCGATCAAACTTAGAAAAATCACTCAGAAGAAAATCGCCTGGATCACTGAGTGCTTCTCTCAGTGGTTTAAAGTTCAAAACCTTTGGCTGTTTGACCTGGGTGACAATACCACCTTTTTCATATCTACCATAATTTGTGGTGTCTTCTTCAAGAGTGAATGAATACGGTCTAGCATTTTTTATCTTTCTTGGCTTTCCATCATTCAACTCTCTCATACCATGAACTTCAGAGAATACAACCAGATCTCCATCTTGAAACTCAAGCCTCTCGTCATCAACACAGGAAACTAGAGCAGGGTTGTCATTGCTTATGGATGCAATTATACCAGTATGAGGATCCTCTCCATCAACATCAAAAACAGTGAACTCGGGCCCAAAATCACAAAACAGAGAACCAAAAAGGCCCCTAACTTCACTTTTAATAAAGGCAATAGGTGGATTATGACTGTGGCAGTAATCATCGAACTCAATGGCTTTCTCAAGACTAATTTCAGTGAAAACAACAGCCTACAAAATAGTTGAAATTAATAAATATACAAATAGATTTGTGGTAGCAGGTGAGTATGGAAAATTCATACAAAAGCACACCATTAACCAACATTTCACAATCTAAGTGTTGTGTATCACTTCAAGGTTAAACAATTCACAAGGATAAATCTTGTTGATATGGTCAAGAAAATGCAAACATGCTCCTCTCACAGAGTTTTGTGAGACTTCATATTTTTACCAATAATATCAATTACTAAATAATACAAAGACCATCATAATTAACTTTTGGCCATTAACAGTACAAAACTAATTAGATTTAACAGATGTAATTAGTTGTCTCAAACCAGGCGATCACATCAATACTCTTGTCTCATCCCAGAGCACATCTATCATACTACAAAACATCAATAATCACATAACATGCACATACCTCATTTTGATTAACAACAAAAACATTTTCATTAAATTCAAATAAAGATGAGAGCAAATATCAAAGTGCCTCATAACAGACAGAACTCGGAAGAACAATTACGTCATTAACAAATAACTCAGGCATATGTAAAGCAAAATATAAGTATAGTAGTATTACAGATGTTAGAAACACTGACTATGCATTAACAAGAATCTCCCTCCCTCATCAATCGTGATTTAAAATGCCACAATATTGTTCACCCATTGTTAATCACTAGGTCGTGCAAATAATTCGAATCCATGCAAAACTGCAACAGAAGTTAACAGAACTTTCAAATACATGGCACTGAACACAAATAACAATGAACATTAGAAGTTACCCTATATCAACATGTGCACAGAAAATCTTTCTTCCAAAAGTTCCATGAACAACAAAACATGCCACAGACACATAATCACTTTATATAAAGCAGATGTATATATAAATGCATTTAAGAAAAAAATGAAGTTCCAGAAACAAAAGAATAAATGAAGTACCTGGAAATTAGCAAGTTGCTCTTTTGTCAGTTTAGTTGTTAAGCTTAGTACAACCACAGAATTGTTAAGTTCCTGCAACTTACTAACAGAAGCCACTGCCCTGTTCTTGCCAACATCATTATCTGAAAAGACAAAATTACTGGACAAATCCCATAACTCCACATTTCCTTCGTCGTGCAAGGTTACAGATTTCACACCAGCAAGAATGAGATTCTTCGCTGCAGATAGTAAACTTATTTGATTACAGAAAAACAACAATGCTTACACTAATATATATTGCAAACCATTAAAAACATCAGGTCCCAAAATGGTTTATATTGCATTATGTATTGATGTACATACTCCCAACTAATTAGAGAATAGTACATAAGTAAGAACCTTCAGCAAGCCTACCCAATGATATTCAACGATGACTTTTAACCCGTTCATATGTATGTAACTACAGTGAAATAGCATTCCAATTTCCAATCCAACAATACAAGGTTTGAAATAGTGAGCGTGAGAAACCAGTGATCATTTTAAGTATGTACAACAAATAACAAGATGGTGAATTGTATAAGTCTATTACTCTCCTTTACTTCATTTTCAGCTTACAAAGGAGACTGGAGACAAATTACCAATCATCCAAACACCAATTATATCAAACAACACAACTAAACAATTCTCTCGTTTAATTTAGAGAGGTGGAGGGAGGGTAAACCATAGCTAGTATGATCAGCAAGTCTATATCAACATAGACCCTTTATGGATAAACTTTTCCATAAACCTTTATAAGAGATGAAAATAAGGTAAAATACATAGAGCTTCTCTTAAAAGCTAAAATCAACTTATGTATCTCGTCTTATAGGAAAGTCAAATGAGAGGAGCTTCTATTGAAGTTAAATACATAAGTTGTGGTATCTGGCCCAGTAGACAAAGAGAAACCCGTGACAGGACAACAACAAAAATGCAGTAAGTTAATTTTATCTTATGGTATAAGTTCAATTCAAGTTACCTTCTCGTGTTCTTTTTTATGATTGATTGTGTAGAGACATATGCAAACATTTGCGAATAAGCATGATTCATAAACCTTGCAGCCTCCTATAAACCCCAAAGATTTAACTATTATTCCCGTCCCTCGATAAATAACCCTTACGAAAACCATACACAAAACCCAAGACATCCTGGGTTAAAACAGTTTCAATTGAAGCGTTAGAAAACCCAATTACCAATTTCAACACCAAGACCCTGCATCCCCGAAACGAGGACGCTGGACGCGAAGAGCCTCCGCATGGTCTCGCGGCCATAGACGGCGAGCTGCCGACTGTGCAGATCCTCGTCGATCTCTGCTGGGTGCGAGCCCCCCAACGCCATTCCTTCGATCGAGTTCCCACCGCCGCTGTTGTCGCCGCTGCCGCTGCTACTGAATCCCCGACCGCTGTCGTCCACCGCCGATTCCGCAGCACCCGAGCAGGCAGCAAAGCAACTGATCCGAGCCTTCTCGGAAATATTGTTGTTGGTGGCGGCGTCAGTATCTCCTTCAACTACCACTCCTCCTTCACTCACTCTCTTTCTAGGAAGCATATAGTGCAGTAAACTGCGAAAGACGCAAGGTAAACGCACCATCGAAATTACAACCAAAACGAAAACAACCAAATCGAAACAAAAATCATAACAAATAAGATCCATCCTGTTGATGATATAAGAATAAAAAATTATACAAAACCCTAAGTAGCACTAGATTCGAGGTTGGAAGAAGGAAGGAAGAAGGAGATGAATCTGAATCTAGGTGGAATGGAAGGGAAGGAAGGGAACGTACCGAATGAAACTTGAGAGAAGAAAGGAATGGAATAAGATTGAAAGGTTGGGATCGGAAAGACAGATAGAGAGAGAGTTTAGGTTCCTCTGAAGCTGGGTTTGGAGATGTGAGTGTGTGAGAAAGTGAGAGTGGGTATAAGAGAAAGAGAAAGAGAAAGAGAGAAGGGTATTTACGGATTTGCATGAAAATTTGGTTTGTTAAATTGTTACACGCACCTAGGCTTTTGCCTTTACTCGATACCATTTCTATCTATCTTCTCTTTCTCTTTTAGCAGTGAGCGAAAGAGTGGGTCTATTACTGTGAAATGGAAGAATAGTGAGCCCTGCAGACAAAACGAATGCACCGGGATGAGTACATGCCACGTCGCCGTTTTAAGTTCTCCTTGTCTCCAAACGACGGATTCTTCTGTTCTGGACCCAGCCAAACCAAACAGACCCCTCCATGTATTTGGCGATGGATGGAAATTCCAAAACAGAAATTTTATTATGTTCTGTTCTCTTCCTCGAAACAAATTTCTTTTTATTGCTCTTTATTCCCCCGCAACCAAATACAAAATTATCATAGCACAATCATTACCATAACACTTAAATAATATAATTATACAATTATTCTTAAATGCATGAACTCTATAAATGCTAAAAATTACTCATAAAATTAGGTATGTTTCTTTTTCCAACAATATTATATTATATTATATTTCCTCCCACAACAACCTTCACTAAAACTAACTGCAACAACACTCAACAAAACTAAATTAAAAAATTATATTATTATAAAAAATATTAATATATATATATATATATATATATATATATATATATATTATCCTTTGATCATTTTAGTTTTACTTCTAGTTTGATAGAATCTAAAATGTCTGAAAAGTTTTATAATCATTTTTAAATAATTTAAATGAACCCATATATTCATACTGTTTATAGTATATAGAATTATATAAATTGTATGTAATATACTTCTTAAAATTCGATGTTTGATTTAACTTTCTTTTATTAATAGAATAACGCTGTAAATCTGTAAACTTTTTCTAACATTATTCTGATTGGGTACAAGTATGTCTGTTTTACTTTTATTTATTAGAATTAACTGCTTATTACACATTCAGAATTAGTGTGGATAGTTTAATTGTGGATTTTTTTCTTTTTTATATTACAAATATTTGATTATTTTATGTATTTAATAAATATAATAAAATTATTATAAATACACATGTAAAGTTTATTATAAATAAAAGTTGTTGTTAATAAAAAAAATAACATTGAATATTATTATCAAAACTGATTTTATTAAAATTTATTATTATTTATAATTATACAGTGATTTTTTTTATTTTTTATGTGGTTAGAGAAAAAAATATCGTAAATATATAATAAAGAAAAATAATATGTTATGCAATTAATGAAAAAAGAAATTAAAAAGTGAATAATAGAAAATATTATTTTATAAATAAATTATAAAAAATATGAATATACAAATACTAAAAACATTTTTATTTCTAGTTATTGTTATAAAAAGTTATAAATAATTTATATTTATCAATAACTATATATAAAGATTATGTTTTAATCATTCAAGAAAAAAAAGTGTTACAATTTAAAAAATAAATTATTATAATTGATATATTTAAAAAACAGTAAAAATATAAAATTATATATTTAAATAAAAAAATATTTAAAAAATAATTATAAGACTCTTTAACACTGACATATTTCATTAAAATATATATATATATAAAGGAATTAATTAAAAAATATTATATATATATATATAATTTATATTATATATACAGTTATGTAATTACTTTTAATTTCATAAAAAAAGAAAAAATGATAAATTAAAAAAAATATTATTAAACAAATTAATAATATAAAAACATGAACATGCACTTAAAACCTATGTAATAATAATTACTTTAAATTTATATTAACATAAAATTAAATGGAATATTGAGATTAAAAATATCAAAATTTTATTTTAATATATTAAATTATAAAATTTGTTTTAAAATATTAAATTAAATAATTATTTATAATTTAATTTATTAATATATTTGTTATTACTAATAGAAGTAGACTTAATAATTTATTATTTCTATTACTAATCAAAATAATTAGAAAAGTAATGTTAATATTGAATTGAATTAAAAATGTAGGATCATGATTAAATTATGAATAACAAAATTTACAAATACTTTCATAATTATTTCCTTACTTTAAATTGTAATTTAACATCTACTAATAGTTAATAAATTTTACAAATTTTGTCTTTATGACCCTTGGTGAATTTAAAAACCTATTATGACAAGACTGTTATAAAACTAATTTACAAAATTTATATTATAATTTTAATATGCAGTTAAGACAAGTGGTGTACTTTTTAATCAATATCATCAAAAAAATTACTTAATAATATGTAACATCAATTTAAAGCTCTAGTACTTCTACAAAATAATAGTTTATTTGTATTTAGTCCAAAAGGTCATAATAACATAACCAGAAGATAATGTTTTTAATTAAAGTTCAATTCCATGTGTAGTAAGTTGCAAGATTGTGATGCAATGGAATTTATACCTATGTCCTTTTCATCTTTTCACTGTGCTCCTTTTAATAAAGTTCATTCACATATTTTTTTAAAACATTTTTTTTATTAGTTAGAGTTAACACACGTGTATGTATATATATATATATATATATATATATATATATATATATATATATATATATATATATATATATATATATATATATATATATACACACGATTTGAAAACCTATATTTTAAATTTATAAATATCAATATGTTATAAAGAGTTACTAGTAATTAAAAATCGTAGTTTTGACCATTCCTTTCTTATGAATTATCATACAATTAAAAAAATCCAAATCACAAAAAGAAGATGATTTACAAAAAGTAAAATAAAAGAATATATAATTTAAAATTTAATTTATACATTTAAAAAATCATATAATTTATTTGAATTGTAATTTATTTATTTTTTATAATTTAATTTATACTTAATTAACTTGTTTTTACTAGTTACTTTTTAATTAATTTTATAAGAGAAAATATTACATATAACTAATATAATAATTTTTATTAATTATATTATATTTTTTTATTGGACAATTTAAAAAAAAAACTAAATAGAAAAAAAGGTATTTAGTTTTAATCTTTTACATCTGCTGGTTGAAAAAATTGTATGAAAAAATGAGGTTTTAGACCTCATCTTCTTTTTTGTCCTCCTTCGAGAACATATAACTGGATCCAGAGAAGGGTGTAACACACACCTTAAAAAAAGTAATACCCACCTCTTCGTTATCTTAGGCTCTAAATTGAAATTTTACAACACCCAAAAATTTATAGTAAATTTTATTAATATATATATATATATATATATATATATATATATATAAATAAAAAATATTTTAGAAGATACAAAAGAAAAAATTAAATAATAATCAGAGAAAGAAGAAATAATAAAATATAATATAATTAAACTGTATACTTTAAAACTAATATAAGAGAAGAAAAACAAAATAACTATAACTTATTTTTTCTTGTGATAATAAATCACAATACTCTTATTTGATACTATCTGCAATGTAAGGATATATAAAAACAATAAGAAAACAAAAGAATAATATATATATATATATATATATATATATATATATATATATATATATATAGATTGAAATTTTTTTCATATTTTCAGTTAAAAGAAAAATGTAAATACAATATTTAAATGCTTTTAATAAAACGAAGAAAGATATAATATTATTGGAAACAAATTTTATATATATATATATATATATATATATATATATATAATGTTTTATTTCTTCTTATTTTTTTACAATTCAAGCATAGCAAATATTTATTGAAACAATAAAAAAGTGGGTCGAATAAAAAAAAACAAATAATTGGATCATATATACAATAATGTTAGGAAAAAAATTCAAAATTAATTGGAATTTTTTTTTTTAACAAATCCAATGCAAAAAGATAAAATTAGAGAGGATAAAAATGGATAAGATGGAGATTTTAGAAATTTACAAGAGAAAAAATGGATAAAAATATATATACATCTTTTGAGATTTCTTCATAGTAAGATTTTATAGTATTCTCTCATTTAATAAAATGTAAAGAAATTAAAAAATGTATATAATTATCTCGTACACTAATTAATATCACTATTTTTCAGTGATGTTACTATTTTTTGTATTTAGTAAGGAGATTTTTCTCCGTAGGTTTTCTTTTACTTCTTTGTTAAGTTTTGAGGCTCGTTAGTCATAATCTTATCATGGACTTGTGTGTGTTAAGTATCAATGTGGGAACCCTTACTAATAGCTATAGCTTTCGGCTAAGTGGCTATCGCTGCGTGCTCATCCTTTGGTATCAGAGCGAGGACGCACACTCGATTCCTGCCGAGGACGGAATTGAGGCAACGGGTGGTAAGTCCAGCGGTAGCCACTTAACCAATAAATATAGTTGTTAGTAAGGTTCCCACATACAAATAAATTATTAAAACAAAAAATCA